CTGATTCCTTTTGTTACCTGGCTAGCAGGGAAAAGGGGTCGAGGCCGGTCCTGACCTGTTACAATGAAGACTGACTTGCTATGTGGGATTACACCAGAAGCTTGCAGTGGAGTAATGGTAAGGAAATCAAGCAACCTTAAATATCTCGGCTGTATAGGAGCATATTCTATTGCAGAAGACCTTCCTGTGAAGATCATGGAATCAATACGGGACATTGAACTAATACTTGGACTTTGATATGAATTTCTTTAACAATTTTCTCTGCAGTGCAAGTTATTAAACTAAAGCTACTCTATTTTCCAAATGTGTTCCAACAGAAATCCTTCATAACTTCTAGCATGGTATCTTAATAAAGAATAAAGTTCTTTCTCTTTAAAAAATCTGCTCTAAGTAGATTTTTCCCCTGTTTTTTTTAAATTAAGGATCCCAGCAGTGGTATTCTGAAATATTCTCTTGAATTTGTGCATTTAAATTTTATTGCAGTGGTATAGATGAATGCCACTGTTGGTATCCTTAAATTTTATTTCTGCTCACCAAGGTTAATCATGATTGTCTATATCTTTTTTATAGTAATCACTTTTGAATTGTGTTCAGATATGCAGTTTCAGGTGTAATCATCAGAGCTGGTTAGTCAGGCATTCCAGATAGTGGTTCTTTTCAGAACCTTTTTTAAAGGGTTGGTTAACTACCTCAGTAGCAGAGGATTGAACTATACCCTGTCTGTACTGTACATAGAAATTCTTTGTAGATAAAAGCAAGGCTTGTTAAATATGATATGAGGGTAAGATTTTAATATACCAAATGTAACATTCTTAGTTGCCTTTAGTTTCAGAGGCTTGTAAGACTTCCTCATGACCATCATAACAGGCCTTGCTTTTGTCGTATTTTGTGGCTGAAAAAGCAGCCTTGCTTCTTCAGATATTGTAGTTATTTGGATGTATAATAGTTTAGCAAGATGTTACTTTTGTAAGACATCAGATGTTCAAAAAAAAAGTGCATCCGAACTTGTACTAAATACTGCAGTGTCCCTTTATAAAAAGTCAGACTAAAACTGACAGTTGTACAGCGAAGCCTGACATTTGGATATTTTGAAGTTTTTCATAAATCATAGAAATTAGTATATGGCTGTAGTTTAGCTTTTTAGGTAAAAGGTATGTTTCATTAGTGCATTTCTTACTGCTGATCACGTAAAAATGTGAATCAGCTTTCCATTTCTTATGCAGGTCATGATAACTTGTAGAGTAGAGTACAATCATTTGTGCTATGTTTTTAATTTTCTAAAGCACCTTGATGACAGTGAGTGTTCAGTGGTGAAGCATCCTCTATTGAATCACCCTCAAAAAAATTTTTTGCCAAGTCCTAAGTTGATAGCTTAAAGTCAAAAGTAAATTTATAGTTTAATTAGGACTTGGTGTAAAGAAATCCCTTTTACCCCTTTCCCCAAAGGGATACTGCAGTTATATCACATACCCAATAGGCACCACAATGAAGATCAGAGCTTATACTTAATTAAGGTTTTATACACACCAGTTCCCCAGTAATGCAAATTTAACAAGAAAATTAGACATGTCATATGTTCAAAATGCTCATGGCAAACAATCATTTTGCATTCCTGCAAATAAAATTGTTTTATACTGTAAGCTGGAGGCGAGTGTAACTTATTTTTGTAATAAAGTTTTTATTTTTTTTATGTGTCATTAATATAAATGTGTGTTAGAATAGAAAACTTCTGGTTTAAAAACTTAGAATTGCACACATTTCAGTATGTTTATTTGTACTTCCATAATTTAGAGTAGTGGTTGCCAATAGCCTGTATGTTTCACATTAATTGGTTTTTTTTTCTTTTTTTGTTACCTTAATAAACCATTTTAGTATGTTGTATGTCAGTTACTGGGATAGCTGGGACATAGAGTGTAATTTAAAATTTGTCAATAAGTATTCATTGGAATATATGTAAATGTGCCTTGCCGGTTATTGAAACTTACCTACAAATGAGTATGGGGTGACAAAAACTTGTTCCTGGTGCTTAATGAAACTTTCTGCCACTGATTTTATATATTACCCTGTGCTTTTTTTAAAGTACATCTCTCTCAAATCTTAGTATAAGTTTGAGGGCTACACAAAACACTTACATTTCATCTTAACATAATAGATATGATAGGGTTGTGGAAAGTGGGTAAACTAAATGTAGCCTTCAGTAGAATTGAAGTTCAGTGTAATCCTTGGTGCTGGCATTTATTTCCCAGGTCCAAGGAGTTTAAATGATCCCATCTAAGAGGTCATTGCCATGCCTCTTGGCACTTAACTGTCATACCATTTTTAAGGGACACTGTCAAGGTGTTTAAGTTAATTCTCAGAATTATTTGTTGGGATTTTTAGGACAGGTTTGTTTGACTTAAAGTAAGAATTGCATTGTTAAATGTTGAGAAATGAACACTTTTGTGAGTTCACAAATGTGTTCTTTAAGGAAACATTAAAATATGGAGCTCTGGATTTCAAAGACCATTTGGCATTCTTAGTTTGGTGATGTGGGAGGGAAAACATATAAAGAAATTGGAGACGATATGGTGATATGGGTAACTGGAGATGAATTATATATACACTCAAGTGAAATTACTTGACAGTGTTCATTTGAATAACTTTGAATTCAAGCCATTATGATTACTTTAAAAATTATCATTTGCACTGTTCTGATAATGGGTGCAGTTTTTGAGCAATATAATCAGAGCTAAATATGCATGTAGTGATTAGTAATGTGAACAATTAAGTTCTGAGAAGTAATACTAACTTTTGGTATTTTCAAACTTAAATTTCTGTAGTAAAATCAGTATCAAACTTAATCAGATCAAGGAAAACAGGCAATGCATATAAACATAATTTTGAATGTTGTGTGGCCTATAAAGCAATAATGCGATTTATATGGAATGTCATGGGATATGAGAAATGGAAATGCAAAAATGACTAATTCTTCAGTAAAAATGTCAACATGTTAAAAGGGGAATGTTAACTAATGTAGGTAATTGCTATTTGTAATTTGTTTATGGGTTCTTGGCTTTGACAGCTTCAAAGAATGGACAGATGACAAGTTAAAGAAGTTTTGTATATATTGTCAAGGAAAGGGTCATAATTCCAACAGTCAAGTCCCTTCCTTGGGGTGAAAAGTGTATCCTTAAAGCATTCTGATTGTTAAAAGGAAAGTTACCTAACCAAAACAGACGCAAGATTTTGTTTCTGCAGACTACTTGGCAATTGAAAGTGACATAAATTTAGTTTCACCAGTTTTCAGAAAGTTGCTGTGAGAAAATTGTGTTAATTGTATTCTCTCTCAAGCATGCTTTTTTGGTAGAAGATTTTTAGCCATTGCAACCAGTTACATGTTCAAAAATGCAAAATTGAGCACAAAAAGTTTGTTGCACACTCATGATTGCACTTTGTAGCATCGTGAGAACTTTTTTCCAGATTACTGCTTAATCTGACAGCAAAATATAAGCATTTTTTCTCATAAAATAGGAGTGACAAATGGATTGATGGAGTGATATGAGTTGTTCATTTGTATGTTAGATATTTGAATGACAAACACCAAACTTCCCAGGCAAAATTGACCAGTACAACTTTTTTGACTGCTAAGCCAAAAATCACTTAATCAGAAAAGAGCAAAGCATTACCATGTTATTACAAATACAACAATTTCTATTTTATGAGGAGAAATAGAAGGGGGTTTTGCAATGGAGGGAGCTAACCCCTAAAGTAAGTGATTGCTTGGTTTCTGCAACTTCCCAAGAATACCCACCATAATTGTTCTTCCCAGTGGGTATACAGTTAATGAACAACTTACATGATAATAAAACAGACTTGAGGGGTTGGTCTTCAAGGTGTAGTAATTTACTCAGTAATCATACCACTCAATAGGGCATGCCACTACTTAAGATGCTAATTATGAACCATTGCTCATAATTTTTAACTGGGCAAAAGAGTAGATGGACTTTTGAGGTCTGTCACTTTTTAAAAAGTTCTTAAGACATTGGTTACATTAACACCACAGTCTGCCTTCGGTAATAGACCTAAAATATTTTTCTGGGCCAGAAGCATCCAGTTGGAAAAACAACTTTTTTTTGCAAATACAAATCAGTATTATTACTAACACTGGGTCAAAGATAGGTTTTTAATATTAACAGTAGTCTGATAAACATTTAGAAGTCTGACATTGAGAAACAAAAGCTTGTACCTGATTAGTATTTTCATTAAAAAAATTAGTTGTGTTTATTTAAATTCTTTTACCTTTATTTATCCATAGGATTTATATTTATTTCATTCCTTTCATCTCACTGAAAAGTGTCTGCAGGCCTTTTGATTTGGATTAGATGTGTGAAGTACTGTCGTTCGCCAAAAACCTCAAATTGTTTTATTTTTTTTTCCTTCAAAGTAGTGGGTTTGTGCTTGTTTGGAGATCAGTTTAAAACTCTGTACTATCTGTACTGCCTCTGATGTTAAGATTTTATGTATAGCATAAGGAAGCTAGCTCTGACTATATTTTCCTAAGAATAAAGACCTATTTTTGTAGCATGTCTTAGGATCTCCAGGAGTCCAAGAATTATTGTGAGTGTCCTCCATTTCATCATTATTCACTGAACAACTTTTAAAGTGACACTTGGGATCTTGAGAGATTTACCGTGTTTTGGTCATTCATACATTAAAAGTAATCAGCTAATGATGAAAACAAATTCCCCAGGATACTCTCCCAGTTGTAAGCATGTGATAGAGGATCTATAGAATGAATGAGCTGGGGTGGTCTTAATTTTAATGATTGATGGGAACACTTTGTAGTTAACCCCTATGTCATAGATTCCACGAAAAATGCAGTAGTGTTCTTCCATTCTCAGGTCTCTTTCTGGCAAATAAAATTTCCTTGAAGATTTGCAAATAAGAGTGAGGTTGCAAATATCTCAGAACGGAAGAAACAAATGATTTGCTTTAGTAAAAGGCAGTTATATAACAATGGATCTAGGTAAGAACTCAGTGAATTAATTGGGCAAATGAGAAAGTGCTTATAGATTGAGGGGTTTTAGCTCATAACTGTAGGATTTCTTAGTGATAAGAAAAGAGGGGTTTGTGCCACTTAACCAGAGTAAAAAAAATGGATGCAGAGTTTAGTTTCTGCTTAAGATTACTGAAGTCTAGCTGGGCAGCATTGGCTCACACCTGTACTCTTAGTTTCTCAGGAGGCTGAGGTCTGTGGATCATGGTTCGAAGCCATCCTGGGCAGCAAAGTCTGTGAGACTCATCTCCAGAAACTACTCAGAAAAGACTGGGAAGTGGTGTTGTGGCTCAAATGGTAGAATGCTAGTCTTGAGCACAAAGAGGCTCAGGCACAGCTCCTAGGCCCTAGTTCAACCTCAGGACTGTCCCCCTCCCCCCAAAATAATCTTACATGAAAATAAATATAATTATTTCAAGAGCCATGGGAATTTCAATAAGACAGGTGTGGAAGTAATAATAAACCATTTATCTGGAAGTGTTAGAAATTTTCTAAACCTTACAGTCAGTAAACTTAGATTGAACAATAAGTTAATTCTGGCATAAAATAACACATTACACCTGATTATTTTCCTTTTTCTTTGGTTGTGGGGCTAAAACTCAGGGCTTGTGTGCTGTCCCTGAACAAGGATACCACTTGAGCTACTATGTATCTCTGGCATTTTCTGTGATTAGAGGTGAGAGTCACAGGCTTTCTTGCCCAGGCTGGCTTTGAACTGTGAACATCAGATCTCAGCCTCCTGAGATTACAGGCATGAGCCACTAGCACTCAGCCTATTTTCTTCTTTTTAAAAGCAGCTTAAAAGTTTTAATCTGAGTAAAATTATAAAGACTGTAATGTTCATGAATTATCATTTCTTGTTTTTATTAGGCTTCAGCCATATAGACAAATTCAAAATGGAGAGAATTTATATCTTGTCAATGATCTCTAGAGCTAGGTTTTGCTTCAGGGCAAAAAAGCAAAAACATTTGTGGATAAGCCATTACTACTGAGTAAAAAGTATAAATCTAAGAGTTGACAATAATATAAAATTGGTAGAAGAGTTTTGATGATCTTGATGTGATAAAATAAGGTCTTTAGGAACAGAAAATGATAGGCCTGAGTGGTACCATTACATTATGTCCTCTAGTATGCGTCATTTATAATGGTGTTCAAATAGGATGAAATTTGAATGAACAATTTAAGTGACACTGCATCTTTTGAGGACAAAATTGTGAAAGCTAAGTAGATGGACATGATAAAACTCTGAAGATTTTTTTTTTTCTCTCGAGGGGCTCTCTTGGCTTGGTTGCTGTCCCTGAGTGTCTTTATGTTCAAAGCTAGTGCTCTACCCCTTGAGCCACAGCTCCCCTCCCAGCTTTTTGTAGTTAATTGGAAATGAGTTTCATGTACTTTCCCAACCTGGCTGCTTTGAACCTTGATCCTCAGATCTCAATTTTGCATAGTAGTATTGCCAGCTTGAACCACTGGTGTCTGGCCAGGCTTCATTTTTAAAATACTGATAGTCACATTGCTTTAATTATATGACTTAGGAACTAGACCTTAAGTTGCTTTATCTTACTAGTATGAGTAAAGGCTTATATGCTAAATATTTTTCATTTAGTACTTACGAGACAAGCAATATGTTGAATTTAAAAATTAGCAGATTGTATTTCCAGATTCTGTTCTATAGTTGTGGAATTTAGGAAATGTAGTTTGACAAATTTAGTTCTAACTTCGTCTTTTTCCCTTTGACATGGTAAAAATTCACAAGCATTTGCAGAAACTAAATTGTTAGAAATCCTTTATTAAGGATAAGTGCAATTCACTCAGACCACCCTGCCTTGAGTTTATGCCCACTTAGCATGGAATTAGAAGACATATAGCCAAGAGCTGGTGGCTCACACCTGTAATCCTAGCTACTCAGGAGGCTGAGATCTAAAGATCACAGCTCAAAGCCATCCCAGGCAGGAAAGTCCATGAGGGTCTTATCTCCAATTAACTACCAGAAAACCAAAAGTGGCGCTGTGGCTCAAGTGGTAGAGCACTCGCCTTGAGCTGAACAGCTGAGGGACAGCACCCAGGCCCAGAGTTCAAGCTCCACTACCAACCACCCCGCACCAAGGTTTTCTGAGCTTCTGTTTAGTATTGGACCTCAAGAAATGGGCAAAACAAAGGGGCAGTATAATTACTCAGTTTCTGTGTCAGTGTCTGCATTTTCATGATTTTAAATTGGAGTTTATATTTTGCCTCCTTATATAGAATGGAAGCTCCTTGGGGGCAGGAAAGTATTGTGCCAGACAGCAGTTAAAATAAAATCTTGCTGAGTGCCGATGGGTCACACTGTAATCCTAGTTACTCAAGAGGCTGAGATCTGAGGCTCAAGGTTCAAAGCCAGTGTAGGAAAGAAAGTTTGAGACTTACCATTAATTTACCACTCAAACAGGAAGTGGAGTTGTGGCTCCAAGTGGTAGAGCATTAGCCTTGAGCAGAAGAGCTCAGGCACAGCACCCAGGCCTTGACAAAAAAGTCTCAGACTTTGCTGTCTTGGCTGACAATCCTCAAATTTCAGCCTCCTGATTAGCTAGGATTAGAGAAGTGAGCCACACTGGTGCCTGGCTCTCAAGATTAAATTTTTTTGTATGTTTTTTTAATTGTAAAAATACTGTAGAGAGGGATTATAGTTACATGAACAAGGTAATGAGTACATTTCCTATTGAGCATTGTTGCCTCCTGTTTTTCCCCTTCCATCCCTTCCCTCCCACCTCCACAACTACTCCCCCCCACCTCAAGGTTAAATTCTTAATTCATTATGAGCTGTTGGCTTAACTCCCTAAATCTTCTATATGGTTCATTTGCCTTAGAAGGTAAGTATGTCAGAAAATTATGCATATATTTTAACAACATAAATCTGGAAAGCAGTTTCTACTAACCTTATATTACCTATCCAATTGGTGGTTGGGTCCTCAAGCTAGATCACATGATAAAGGACCAGTTTGGTTAGTGGTGATGGTTAAACACAATCTACTTATGTGATTTTAATTGTTTTGCATTGATGTCATTTTTTTTCTTTTGATGTAGAATGTGGATGAGGGAATGAACTCAGTTTACCTTGTTCCAATTATTAAGTTCATATTCTACTATGGAGCTACTCAGCCCCATTGGTAGTTTGTTTTTTTTTTTTTTAAAGCCACAGTCTGTGAAAGTCCACACATACCAGCCAACTCCCAGAGATAAACCTGTAGTTCTGGTGATTACATCTTAGATTTTTTAAATTTCTAGGTCTAAACTGCATTTCCTCTTTCGATTTGAAAAATTCAGCTTTGACCAGTCTTGGTTGAATATTTTAAATTTGTGTAGTTGTTAAAATTACTTAAGGAGTGTTGAAGTGCATGTTTGTAACTCCAGCACAGGTGAGACTGATAGGAGAACCTGGAGTTAGAGGCTAGCCTCAAATATATAGTGACTATCTCAAAGAAAAGGACAATGACATTGCTACTATAGTTAAGGACATGGCACACACACACACAGTCCTGTTTCTTTGTCTCCCAATTGCTGTGTCTTTTGCTGGTAAAATTTATAATCCTGTCTCATCCCATGCCTATAGACTGAAGATAGTCTTTGCAGGACAGAATATTAAACTAGAGATAATACTGAATGTTTACTCATTTGCTGCCACAGCTCCACTTCCGGCTTTCTATGTGTGTGTGTGTGGGGGGGGGGGTTATGGGGAGACTTAATTGGATATGAGTCTCGTGTACTGTATTGCTTGGACTGGCTTCTGCAAACTGGGATCCTTAGATCTCAGCCTCATGAGTAGCTAGGATTTCTGAGCCATTGGTGCTCGGCTTTCTTTTATTAACTTTCTAATTACCCTTATTCTGAAAAGAGTTGCAAGTTTTTTAATCCATCCTGAAAGTTCTGTTTTCCTCATTACATCTCTGAGTTCCACTATTTCTTACATTCTATGCCTTGTTCTTGGATTTGTTTTTAGGTAGCATAAAGATTTTTAAATAGCTGAGCACCAGTGGCTCACACCTATAATCCTAGCAACTCTGGAGGCCGAGATCTGAGGATCATGGTTTTCCAATCAACCACCAGAAAACCGGACGTGGCGCTATGGCTCTAGTGGAAGAGCTACCCTTGAGATGAAGCCCAGAGCTAAAGCCTTATGGCCGCACCCCCTCTCCTCCCCGAAAAAGAAAGTTTAGGTTTCATTTACCCAGTGGCTGTTCATGATCCATTAGTGATCAGTACCTGAAGTCTGATTACACATTTCTAGGAAGTCACCGTGTTGAATTTAGTATTGGATGTACAATCAACAATGTGCATTTACCCTCAAGATCTCCTTGGCTTTGGTATTGATCATTCTTGGATGCTAGTATTTTTTTTTTCTTAAGTTGGCATTATCTTATTCAGTTGGCTAAAATATAGTTCACATTGGTTATTTAGTGGTTTGGTGGTTTTAGATTCATGTTTGTGAGAAGGATATTAAAAGTGTGATGTTACTGATCTATTTCCTGGCAGAAAATGGAGAGTAACAGGCTTAAC